ATGATCAAGCAATTCACGAATGAAATGCCACAAATGAATACTTCCCGTATGACGTTGCGGTTGTTGGTGAATACATGGCTGCTGCTGCTGTTGTTGTTGTTGAGTTGGCGCAGAAACATTCACTTCTAAACATAAGCCATCTGTTATTTTTTGCAGTAGCTTATGAAACGAAACGAACCGTCAATGGTCGATGATTCGGCACTGGATGACAGCTCGGAATCGCTAGGACTTGCTAGAATAATGGTGTTAGTTTGAATGATTTGTTGAGCTTGTGAAACTGCTGATGATGCGAAAAAGCTGCTTTGTGACTGCAAAACTGTGGATGTGTTCAGTGCATAACCATTCGAATCTGAATCAAATTTCATTTGTGTCTTCATCTAACATCACATATACCAAGCACACAACTTCCTTCTTATTATCACATCATCTAATTTCATCTGCTACCAGAAATGAACAGATATATTAAATAAATAAATTTTCTCCTATATTCACTGTTGTTCTCAGCAGTTGAATAATAAGCCATATTCGTTGCTGCAGTATCGCTTGTATCTGCATCGAAATTATTCACGTATTCTAATGCTGCTGGTGTTATTGCGGTGTTATTCTGAAGTCGATTCGTTGTAGCATTAATTGACGGTGCATTACTATTATTGTCTTTAATGCTAGAAATAGAATTAGCACTATGATCATTAGTAGCGGTTGATGACGAACTTGCTGGCTGAAAAAGAGTTGTAATAATAAAAACAGATAAATAAAATCGTTTGCAACTGATTCATCGTCTAATAAACTAGGTAAATCATCACTGTTCACTTAGCAATTATCATCGGTCAGTATATTATTCATCAAAACAGTACTTATTTTCGTTTCACAGTGCAAAATGTTCACAGTTATGAATATTTGTTTCCATATCGTTAATTAGGAATACAATGAAGCATAATTCTTACCCAGACAATCATCCCCGCACTGTCTCTAGCCGTCGCCCCTGCAGATAGCAATCGTGTACTATTATTATTTTGCACATTTGAAGGAGGAACAGAATTTGAGAGATGGTTTTGTTGAATTGTTACACTGCTGTTTTGTTGTTGGGTGTACGATTCGAATGCTGAAATGAATTGCGAAGGTAATGAAGGCGACAAAAGCTCGTAGTACAGAAAACAAATGAATAAATGTAACCCGTTTTCCATAGCTGCAATTGTGCGTGCAACGTGTCACCACCATCAGGTGCACGTGCCATGAACTCTTCTTGATTCATCGCCAACAGAACACGTCCCGATAGAAACAGTGCGCGTGGTGCATGCAGCTGAAACTGCATGCACATCTCCGAAATCCATCGAGCGCTGTGCTCAGCTGTCCACACATATGGGTCTGAAGGAATATTCAGAACCTTGGTACTTTTTTACGACTCAATAATCAGACATCTGTGTTCTTGTCGCTTTATCGAAACAATAACGATGAAAGGACAAAGCAAATTGGTTTCCTCGTTGATCTATGACGATAAAAAACAACACATCTTTGAACGCTACTTTTTTTGAACTTTTATTAAGTGCATCATTATCTGATAATAAAAATGCAAATGTCTAATGAGAAGTCGCAAGTGATAAAAAGGCGAGTAACGAACCAGTTGGAAGTGCAAGTTTAGCACAAGTAGTGCTAATATCTTGAATAAGATGACGTAAAATCAGATCTCGATAGATATCCATCTGAGCTGCATCGCTGAATGTTGATTGTTGCTGTTGTGCGTTGAATGCGTAGCAATTGTTCAATGAAAGCGAATCTTCGGATCGAGTTGAGAGCGAACAGTTATCTGACAACAGCTTATTGCTAATTGAATCGAACAAGTGAAGAATGATTTGATGAATGATACCAGAATGTTGGGGTGACGCTTGTTCACATTTAACGTTCGAGATAGGTAACGAGCTTGTTGTTCCACAGGCACTCCCTTCATTCTCATCATAACACAGTAATGCTTGTTGCTGCTGCTGCTGCTTCAAGACGTAGACATTAATGTAAAGCTGATTAGATAGAATAAGATCTGAATTATTCATAATTAATACCGATCTTGTGAACGTCGAATTGCTTCGTCGACAAAATGCTGACGATAGAGACGCGGCTGCAGTTGCACATGACGCCAGCGGGATCGTATCTGATGCTGTCGTGGAATATAAGATGTTAATTTTTTGTATTGATTTGATCATATTAACAAATTATCATTATTATCACTAAAGTATCTGTTATCATTGCTAATACTGCTAATTTATTATTGCTC